GCCCTCTAGAGTTTGTGAAATAAATTGTTCTGGAAATGAAGTCATTGTGTACGTTTTGATACGTTCTTGAACCCAAAGATATTACAGTAAGCGCCACAGGGAATGCTATTCCTCCAATGTTTATTTTTCTCAGAGTTCATTTTAAGTCTCATTTCATCCCCAGTGGTCCAATCGGATGTGTCAGTACAACCAATCCGGCAGGATGGATGACTGAAAGTGACTTCCTACTTTTTATGGAACATTTTATTAAGGTTGTTCGTCCAAGGAACGACCTGTTTTGTTATTGATAGACAATCATCTGTCCCATCTGTCAGTTACTGTCTTGAATCTGGCTAAGGATAATGGTGTTGTGATGCTGTCATTCCCACCCCACACATCACATAAACTACAGCCATTAGCAGACATGCCAACCCTACAAGGCCAATAAGAGGAGTCTGAAAAACTTCTGAGCGGAGTTTTGGCAATGTGTGAGGAGTATTCTTAAGACATGGTACCATTGTCATCGGATTTGATAAGTATTCAAATTACAGAAACTTCTTGTATTTGACATATGACACCGGAAGTGAATAAACAGTCTCTTTGGCTACGAACCGGAACATGCGTACTGGACTGTAATTATATGTACACTGTTGTAAATTTGGTCCATATACATGTCAATGGTAACGAGTTTGGTTTAAAATACTACATGAGAGTTTTAATGAATAGCCACTGAGCAATTTGGTGATATTCTAAAATGATTAGAATAGATACAACCGACAACATTCCACCATTTGAGATCGGCAATGATCTGACGAATCAAGCGTAAAAATGGAGCCAGTGGAAGAAGACGGTGCATATCTTGATAACGGCGAAAGGCGTAACAGATGCCACCCAACAAGAAACTATATTGTTGCACTCTGCGGAGGCATTCGCTTGCAAGAAATATATTTCACACTCGCAGATTTGGTACTTACAGAAGGTGAGGAAATGCCTGATGCTTATAAAACAGCCATTAGAAAGCTTGATGCCTATTTTGAGCCAAAAGTTAATTCACCGTTTGAGAGACACAAATTTCAAAAGTTAAACCAGATGGAAGCTGAAACTGTCACAAATTTTATTTTTCGACTGAGACAGCAAGCGGATCTCTGTGATTTCGGAACAGAGAAAGAGAATAATATTAGAGATCAATTGATAGATGGATGTCTATCAGAGGAATTGAAGAAAATATTATTGCAAAAGGGGAATGAATTATCCTTAGAAAAAGCAGTAACCATTGCTAATAGTTTTGAATTGGTTCAGAAGCAGACTATGTCAGCAGCGAGTAATAATTAGTAGAACACCCAGTGTTCATGCCGTACAACAGCGTACAAATTTGAAAGGCAGGTGTAGAAACGGTTGCGTTTCTGTAGAGTTTTGTAAGTGAAAATAGGTGGCGAACAGGGAAATGCCCAGTTGTCAGACCCACGCTAATGATCTAATGATCCGTGTTGCTATGAGAATTGTGTATGTGTAATAACAGGAGCAAACGATACATTATTCGACCGTTTCTAAAGTCATTGGATAGAATCCTAACCAACGGATTAAATGTAAGTTTATAAGAGTAACAAGAATAACAAGAGGTGGGAGTATCTCTCCATTATAGGCCTAGACCTAGCTAGATATTACTGTCATAAACGGTGAGGCTGATGTGCGTTGTGTGTAGGTATTATTAGGCCTACTACACTATGAACGGGAAACGTGCGATTAGGCTCTGACCAGGATCATAATTATGAGCTTATGTCGATAAGGCCTGCCTCAGATTGATACTGTAGAGTGGCGGTATTATGAGTACTGGATTAGATTCTGACCATACTGTTATTATAATACTGCTAGAAGTATGTGTGAATGTACATGGCGATGTTTAACAATAACTAATATTGTATGACTAAATGACATGTGTCAATGGAAGAATCACGTCAGATATCAGTGTTCACGTTTATTAAACTAAGCTGATGTTGAAAATTTAACGTAGCGCGACCGTTTAGCATGAAATAATGGGGATTTCCCTAGAGCAAGAATACGTTGTTTCATTGCGGTATCCAGAAGTTTACATGCATTTCCAGTTGTTTGATGTTTAATAATCAGCAGAAAAAGATGAAATTTCTTTATGTGAACATTTGTAAATAATGTCAATGTTTAAAAATAATTAAAAACTTAACATTATGGGAACGGTTTTGGAGCTTAAAAATAGGTGCGGCTTATACACAGGTGACAAAAAAATCGTAATATTTCGCGTTCTAAAATCAGTAGACCGTGGAGTGCGAATTAATTTTTCATATACAGTTCAGAGTGCAACTCTTAAAGTGATTTGGTGTCAATGAAATTAGGTTTTTTTTTCGAAATCAGTATACCAAAATCGGAGTGGTTGGCATGTCTACATTAGACAGAGGGGTGTACAGACCATTTAAGAAATACATAAATGCTGAGCAAGATAAATGGATGCGAAACCATCCCAACCAGACAATCAGCATATGATATTCCTGGTCTTTGCAGAGAGGCATTGCCAAGAGCAACAACACCAGCAAACATTATAAATGCTTTTCGGAAATGTGGCATTATGCCATATAATGGAGACATCTTAGAGGAACATGAATTCGCACCAGCAGACACTACAGACAGAGAATGTCCAAGGGTATCTCAGGATAACACTGCCTTGACTGGCCCGAACATTGATGTTCAACCTCGATGTATGTGTGCTCCAGGTACAGTATTAGCCCCAGTGTAAGCCAGGAAGAAGAAACTGTAGAGAATTCTTGTGCTATTCGTCGGCTTGATATTTCATCTGCTGCGGTTAGGCCTTTGCCAAAGGCACCCCTAATGAAAGCGCAGAAAGGGGGAAGAAATCTATGCAAAAACTGCGGTATTAACAGTTACACCACAAAAAAATAAATTGGAAGAACAACAGCATAGAGAAGGCAGGAAAAAAGATTCAAGGCTGTAATTCTATAAACAAAATGCAGTATGTTTACTATTGATAGTATCAATACTTCTGCTAGCATTTTTATAGTTTTTATCCATGTTTAAGCACATACTGATTGCTATTTCAATTGAAACACTTGATAAGTTCAGTTAATTAGCCTCCTGAAGGAAAATTACTGAAGCTAAGTTCTTCTTGACTTTGATAATGTTGAATGACACCCACTACTTGCTTTTGACACCATTTTGAAAGTTTTACGACTGAATAAACCAAAATTTGTTTCAACGCGCTCCGGTCTCCCCTATCAAGACAAGTATCATACCATTAGACCACGGAGATCTATAGGATATATCATATACAGATATTGGGACCCAATGTAGACAGAGCATTTAAATTGCACCATCCTGTGTACGTGTCTACCAAATAATATGAATTATTGCATTCACAATTAGCTACGTGTCTTGGTCCAGCAGTGTTTCCAGTATGGAGATTGCAAGTTGCGGTTGAATTTTTCCTCCGGTCTTCTTTTGTATAACACCCATGAGACGATGTATAACTTTCTTATTCCCAGATCTGTATATCTGAACCTAAACAAAAAATAATTACTGTTAAAACTTTTAACCAGGATGATCTAAATACAAAGCATTTTTGCATTCATGTTCCGTACTCTGTAACTAAGACTTTTGGTTACAAGCTTCATTCACATTAGATAGATCCACTATTTAATTTGAACTGCATTTTTGCTGCATCTACTGTAATTAATTCAGTTTTTGATTGGTTTATTAGGCTTTCTGATCCAAAAATGTGGATTTATTGTGAATGCACCTTAATGCAGGCACAAAATTTTGCTATTCGCCATTAAACTAAAGTTAAACTCCAAAAACGTGCTACAATGCATCATGATTCAATATTTCAAACTTATATATTCATCTTCAAATAAATATTCCTGAAGTTGATGAGTTACGAATTATATGATGGCTTGTATCACTTTCTTCAGAGGTTGTTTCACACTACTTTATATCAAATTTACCGGCAAAACCCCATAGTAAAGCAAATACTTTCATCAATTTGAATTACTTATGTTTCTGTCAATAATTTCTTTGATAACATTATAATTAATTAAACTGCATTAACTTAATAATTTTTGTTAATACTTCTTCAATTGTGATTGGCATAATAATGATACATTTATTTATTGTGTTTTTTTCTTTTTATACATTTGTGCTGCTTTAAAAATTTTCTGTTTGTTTTTATAAAGTAATACTGTACGTAATATAACATGTTTACTTCATCCAATGAATAAATATAGATTAACTAATTTTATGTTTTTATTATTCTATTGTATACTTTAGATCTTATCCTAGCTCTTCTTACCTGTTCTGGGTTTTCTTGAATCACTTTGAGACATATATCTTGTATAGTGTTCCTATCCGTCAGCTGTTTCCAGTCATTAACTTCAATTATCTAAGCAAATTAATAAAAAACATTTTCAAAATCTACTATGAAGCAGTAAATAATTTTGAATTAAAACTACTTAAACTTTCAAATGGCGGTAAGCAACAAAATGCAAAAGAATTCCTAGACTTGGGGTAGAGTATTTCTATTTTCCAGGCCTAGGCCTGGTAGTAACCAGTAGGTGGACAATCACCAATAAACTAGCCTAGGCCTGGTAATAAGCAGTAGTTGGAGGATCACCAATAAACCATTTCCATAAACTGCTATTGAGACTTGCCAAAAATAGTCAGCGACTGCTGGTGATAGCTTGGAAATAATGCTTTAGTTTTAATCTACAGGAATAAGCCATTTTTTAAAAACGTATTGATTGAATAACTGATTAATTGACAGATACATTTTGAATCATATTATTGTCTGTTTTCTTGTTAAGCCTCTGTCCAGACTACAATTTAATTTGACAAAAACATGTGACATGCCTAAATATGGTCATGATGACATCACATGACTATATACCGCAAAACCTTGAATAGAATCTTTGGGATTCTGTTTTTTACGACCTTTGGATGGGCTTCTTTTCGCGATGGGCTTCTTTTTGAGATGGACATCTTTTCAAGGCTACTTTTGTAAAGTAAATAAAATCGTGAATGCTGTAAATTTTTGGAATTACTACTATAAAACAATAAATATGGGCACTGTAACATCTATCTGTATCTTGGAGTGTACCAACCAGCATTTAATCACCCACAAAGTGTGTATTGAATTTATTTTTTTTGTTTGAAATTCATGTACATTGTGTGTACGGTACTATCTTGAAAAGAAGCCAATGAAAAATGAAAGCAACAAAAAATGAAAAACTGTCTTCTTTTCAAGATGGGCTTTTTTGCGAAGTTACTTTTGCAAGCTAAAGAGGGGCTTCCAATTTGAGATGTACTTCTCGAATTTAAGCCCATTGGGCTTAATTTTACGAGGTTTTACGATATGGGCATACAACAATTTTTTATCCAAGAAAATTTGATAGTGTGGAAAAAACTTTAGCATACAAAAATCTGATATTGTATGTTTGGATTAAATTAGTCAAAGAAAACAGATATTCCATCACAAGTGACATACACATTTATAAGCTTAACATACTTCAGTAACTGATCTTGAATCTCCTTTAACTTTGAGGTTTAATAGTTGCCTGCCAATGCCAGCTGAGATTACGCCATCAGACACATTTTGAACAATGTCAGCGAAATCATCTGGGGTAAGTGAACTAAAGTAAATAACACAAAAACAACAGCATTTAATCACATTCTTTGTCAGGAGATTGACTATCCTAATATGGAGAGGCACCCTGAGGGCTTGATTTTCGGTAACCAAATTTGTGCAGTTAAATTGATGCGACACAATATTTTAATTTTCAGTTCAATGCACTCTCTGTATACCCACCTTTAATACCATGAAATTAGAGAGATAGATACATACATTAAAATGCATTCAATTCTTGAGTGGAGAGAAGAAATGTTATAAAAGTATTCTGTCAAAGTACCCCACATTCAGAACATTGCACATACAGTTGAACGTGCCTAAGTCGAATTCAAAATGCCACTGAAATATTGTTCAACTTAGATAAAATTTGACTTACAGATTGTTTATTAATGGAAAAGACAACAACTTGGCATTTGAAATTAATCGAGTATAGGCAAAGTCGGCTTAGGCAAGTTTAACTGTACATAGAAAAATCATGTAGAAAATAAATTGATATAAAAATTATAAGAGATCAATGCTAAGTTTGACTCACCACTGGGAGACAGTTATTTCATTTTGATTTGTAACCTTTGATAGGTCATTTATTAGCCAATCAGCTACTTTCTTTGTCTCTAAGCTCCTCCCACTAGTCATAACTTTCTCAAAGAAATCACCTAGTTCATTTTCACTCTGCAAAAATTAAGAAATTAACCTGTAAGCTGCATGCTTTTTAAATTTTATTTATTATGTTCTTATTTTATTTTACACCAGTAACACGATGACCTCAGTGGCAGACCCAGTAACAAAATGTTTGCACATCTCCCCAATCAACAGTCAAAAAGTATTTAATCAAGTAAAAAATCATTTAGGTAAGAGATTAAAAAAAAGCTGAAACTTCAAAGCTTTTCAGATCTATCTATGTGGTGTAATTTAAGTATTCATTACTATAGTTATCATGCAAACCATCAAACAATAATTTTGACTTCAAATGAAAAACAGCTTGGATTATTTCTGGGCATTGCCCTTGCTTTACCAAGGAACATTTTATGAATGTTGTTTGCACCAATTTGTTTGCTATCAGGGCTTTAAGCTCTTGTTCCCACTATCACATTTTCTGTGACAAATAAATGTGACATGCCCATACTTGGGTGTAATATGACATCAAGTCCATGATAAATTTGATAGTGTGGACGCACCTTAAAGCTCTGTCCACACTAGTTTCATAGTGACAAATTTGTGTGATGTGCCCATGGTCATCATTACATCCATATATGGGCACATCACATATATTTGTCACAGAAATCTGATAATGTGGACACAACTTAAGCCAAAAATTAAACACCGTAATCTCTCTAATGTGACAATTTTTTTTGTGATGTGTCCAGTCATGATGATGTCATATTTCATCCAAATATGGGCACATCATATATAGTTGTCACAGAAAATTTAATAATGTGAACACACCTTAAGCCAAAAATATTACAAGTTTACATACCACCAAGACAACTGCACTGTGGCTGCTAATTTTGTATTGCTTTATAAATCGTAATCTCTTTGCTTCTGGTAGTTCAGGTAAAGACCTTCCTATGTTGTCTATATTGATTGCATTAGATGGGTTTTGTGCCTCTTCTATAGAATCATCGTCATAAACTCTGAGAGGGGGTAGGTTTGGCTCCAGCATGAAGCGATAATCGAGACTAGTCTCCTTATCCCGCATAGAAACTGTTTTCCTAAAAAGTAAATAATCATCGTCAGTGAGAGAGAGAGGGGATGAAAGAATGTCAGAAGAGAAAATCCTAGATTTTCGTTGGCATAGAGCAGTACCATAACATAAGAGAAATACAGTTCTAGTGTTATCAGTCTCCAGACATAAAGGTATAGATACAGCAGCTGAAGCTGTACAGGCTGGAGTACCCATCTTTCTTGAATGTTAATGAGGTAAAATAAAGTATAAAATAAATCGTTACCCTAATTTGACATCAAAATATCTAGTGTCTGCCACAATCTCGATGCCTTCTTCAAGCAAGCGGATTTGTCTGGCAATTTCATAATCTGTAAAGGTAATTAATGTTAATAATTTTATAATAATAAACATATTGGCACTTTTTATATGTGCCAATTTAAATAATCTTTGTTGAGTGGGACTTCCTCTTGAAGTATAAATATTATATAAAGAAAGAAAGATGCAGTTAATCCTTCGATTTTGTATGAAATGTGTGTTTAACATATTTTAAAGTTTATTTTAAATAAGCCCGGAAATTGTAACAAAGGAGTCAAGGAAGTAATCACACACTTTTTAAACAAATTATGCAGTATATATAGACAAAATGTTAACATTGGTATATAATTAGAATATTAGCCACAATCTGATGTTTACAAACCTATGGCATTTTTAACATTGCGTATGCTATTAATATTCTTGACTTCTGCTCTAGTTCCAAATGGTTGCCCAGGTAAATTCACAGAAATATTGGCATCAACACGAAGGGAGCCCTCTATAAAAATAAATCAAGAACACTTGTTGAGTTGAATAAAGATAATATAAGTACATGTACTTTACTTGAACGACAACAGTCACTTCATTAACAATATTTTTTTTCCCTTCTAGATAGTTTTTACCTTAGCAAAATTGGTGGTAGCCAATTTGTGTGCATGAACCATGAAGATCCTTTCCTTTTTGTCACTCCCGCTCTTTTTGTGTTCCAGCTGGAGGGTGGAAATAAGCAATTTAGATCTCCGCATAGTACACTATAGGAAAATTATTATACTTAGGTTAGATTTAATGCTTGAAAAAATTTCCTGAGGGCCTGCAAGGCCCAAAAGAAATTTTTGAATGCATTAAATCCAACCTAAGTATAATAATTTTCCTTTAGTGTACGATGCATGCTCTACTAATTGCTTTATAAGTCAATCACCGTCTTTTAATTTTAGTTTTTGATAACCAACTAGTGTAGCAGTCATCGGTTGCTATAGTGATGTGATCGGTATACTGTGTGCGTATTTACATTTAGTTGTGCGTCTGATCTGTGCTCCGTACGTACGCAATAACTACGCATCAGCAGTACATAACAGTACGGATACGATGAATAACTATTGTAATTGTGTTAGAATGAACTTGTTTGTAATGCTATTTTGATAGACATTCGTCAAAGAAAATAAACATTTCAGCATTCGAGAGATAATAGAGTCACTGACCCTTTCGGTCGGTGCATGCAGACAGGTAAAAATCGTGCGATGATGTTATAACTAGGCTAGGCTACGGCTTAGTAAGGGGAGGCCTCAGCGGCCTCTTGTCTGGACGTCCGTAGGCCTACATCCAAATCTGTTCCTGGAGTCTTTAAAATAGGTCTAGAATATTCCTATTAAACGTTTAGTTTCTTTTATTAATGAGGGTCCATGTATTCAATGAATTCTTTATTTGTTCATAGTTAATATTGGATTTGAAGTAACTTTCTTCGGGTCCTCATTAAGCTTGTTTCACGAAGTAATTTTCAATTACAATTCAATTTTCATTGCGGTGCACGATGTCTTTCGCGGTGATAAAAAAAATAAGAATTTTTTTTTGCACACAAACCTAAAAAAAATCAAGCCAAGCGTCCAAAAATTAGTTGACAGTGGGGAATAGGCAAATAACTTTGGGAGTTGCAGTGATGACGTCACGATTGACTTATGATAAACATTGCACACTGTTTCTTGGGTGAGACGCTTAAGCTGTTGGTACTGTGTGCAACATAGTCTGTGTTCATGTTAAAGAATGCAGTGCACTGCTCAAAAGAATATAGTAGGGGATTGTCTCCTGGTGCACTGCCCAATTCCCCACCAGACAGACGACCCAAGTAAAAACAAGTTTTAGAAATTATGGTGTGACACTAAAATAACCTATCCTAAAAATTTGAAGAACTGGTGGTGAATTAACTCTCTAATGTAGCTCTGATGGAGTTACCACCAATTATTCCTATGCCCCTTGGTAGTCTTAATGGGACATTCAACTTTTTATTTGCCTGCCACTTTTATCCTAATTGTGCTTTCATCTCCTTATCTTAACTCGCAACTACATTAGCTCGCGTCTAAAGCTAGGCATCCATGCACTGCATTTAATGGTCATCGGCCAATGTGATTCTATGGGAAACACAATGCCACAACGCTGGCGCATCGGAATGTTTTTAATGGTAATTTCTTCAGTCTGCCACCGACAATCATCAGAAGGTGTTGCTTCATCTAACACTCACACGGAGCAGAGTTGGATTTGTAGGCTGGCGGTCGGACGACCATTGTACAACACAGTGAATGTATGCCTTTAGAATCTTACCTTCCATTTTAGCATTACAAGTCTTAATTGTCTGCAGGATGAGCTGGAGTTCTCGCACCATAGCTGCTGCCTCCAATCCATTTCTCAGGTTTGGCTCTGTTACAATCTCCATTAAGCCCATACCTGCACGAAATAAGAGAACAGAGAATAATTAATATAATGATTTGGCCACATCAAATTTTATGTGACAGACAAATAAATGTGCCCATATTTGAGTGCAATATGACATCACACAAGTTTGTCACATAAAATTTGATAATGTGGCCTGAGCTTACAAAATTAGACATAATTCAACTATCACTTTCACTTAGTAAGACAAACCCCCATCTCAGAGTCTATGACAATCACTAGTATACTGCAGAGGTCCCAAGTCTACCGCTACTTGTGGTATTCTACCGCTTTCAGCAACGATCTACCGCGCTACCGTAAGCCTACGTTTTTCTACCGCATGAAAAAAATTAAAAAAATACTAGGCATACTAGTTAAAAGCATGACTCAGGATGTTAAAAAACAATCATAAACAATTACAAATAAGTTTATTCCAATCCCTACCATCACTGTTTATAGTTTACAGATGCCAGAAAAGAAGAGTAAATTGATGTAATTAATGATATTGATGTAGGCCTCTAAGATAAATGAATAATGTATATTAGAGACTAGGCCTAGTAGGCCTAGTACAGTAACTGTACAGAGTAGTACTGTAGATTCCAGTATTGTAATTTGATGGTATCAATTTACATTGTGTAAATAAAAATGAAAGCAAGAGCTAGCAATTTAACTGTTTTCTGATCATTGAATGTCAAGTATTTGATATCATGAGTAGTTGCGTATTGGCTGCAACTCGACGCACATTGTATTTGAAGGCGGCCAAAGGTTCCCGTCAAAATCTCCTGTGAATGGAGTTCTTCAACTTGGGACCCCTGAGTATAGAGTAGTATCCATGATTGCTGCTAAACTAGGGTTTAGGCATTACTTAGGATCCATAGCAGGGTTAAGGGGACAGAGCTGGTGGAATTGAAGCTTAGGGGTCAACAGCATTTAATTAATACAGCCTTATAGATTTTTTTTTTGAAGGGGGAAGGGGGAGATGCAGGGTGTACCATAAATCGACCAACTGGCAATTAGGCGTTGCCTAGGGTCCTAGCAGGGCTAAGGGGACAGAGCTGGTGGGTTGGAGCTTTGGGGTCCACAGACATTTAATCAATGTAAAATATGCTGTCTCTTATACACATCTAGATGTGTATAAGAGACAGGAAGATGCAGGGTGTACCATAAATGAACCAACTGGCGATTAGGCGTTGCCTAGGATCCCTACAGGGTTATGGGCACAGAGCTAGTGGGATTGGAGCTAAGGGGTCCCCAGGACTTTAATCAATTTTAGCCTTGTCGTCCATGGACAGTATACAGTATGACTACCTATACTGGAATACTAACAAAAGTTATATTGAGTACAAATGTTGATCTTTTCAGAGTTGATGGGGCAGGGTGTACGCACTCACCGCACAATCCCTTGACACAGGCCTGATGAGTCTGTAGAAGAGCTGGTCAATATCACAAGTGAAAGTGCATAAATACAATTTCCTAAACCACTGAACTAAGCCTGATTTCTTTAAAATCGCTACACTGTCGCTACTGTGTTTTCAGGGCAATCGTTGTACTGCGTAGCACTCCCCAACGCAATCGGGAAGGCTCCCCAAAATTGACCCACCAATCAGCATCACCAAAAGCTGCGGGTGATAGCACGTAGCGATTGTATAAAAACCAAGCTTTAGCGGAAAAGACGCACAGCCTCCCAGATCAGCATTCTTGGCACAATTCCAACAAATAACAGCCTAATAGTAAAATCATTCTTAAAAAACACAATAAAATGAATGTGAAAAAAACCCAGGTCATGGCTTAATTATGCGCATGCAAGAATGAAACAACACAGAGACAACAAAAACATGATACCAAAAAGAAGAAATTAATTACAAATAAAGGCAGTTCACCCACTCCAGAGAGTGTCAGAACAAAATTAATTGTGATTTTAAATAGAATTGTAATGTACACTAAATGTTAATTAAACTACAAACCAGCACGATTGAGGTCAACTAAGGTTTGCTGGTTGTCGTCATCGTGTAAGCTTTTTCCGCTATCCTGTTCAAGTTGGATTTGACGCACATGCACCGTCTTCTGTATCGGCGTTTTATTACCCTTTTCTGAACTGATAGGGAATTGCAATTTGCCGTCAATCGCAATTGGAACCCTATTTTGTGTTATTTGGTAGCCAGCCTAATAGAGAAAACAAAACAATTTTACGGTCACTATTATTATATTAAGAATAATATATGTCAGTAATAATGACACATTATCATCATTATCATCATGCCAACAAGGCTGTGCCTCCGTGTGCTTGATAATGATAATGTTGATTATGATAATAATAATGATGAAGATTGTGTTGATGATGATGATTACTATTATTGCATTGATGTTGACGATAATGAAAATGATGATAATGAAGATGATGGATGATTATGATGATTATGATGATGACGATGATGATGACGATGATGATGTTGATGAGGATACTGATTAGGATTTGGTGGTGATGATGATAATTTTGATGAAGTTCTAATAATGATAAGTATTCTAATCACACTTATAACTAAGAAAATAAATATAAATACAACACATCTAGATTGATTTGCTTACAGCTGAGAAGGGCATAAATAAGCATAAATTACTGATTTAACACTGAGAACTATACTATATATAAAATTGCCTTTTTACTGTACTTGGAAAAACTTTATGCACTGGTTTTATAGTGATTTATGCTCAGTTTTAATAATAATTTTTACAGACTACCAGGGCTGTAAAAATAAAGGCAAGCCACACACATAGTGTTGCTGTGGCCCACACAACAAAACTGCCATATTTGGCCCACAGACTGCACTTTTCCCACCTGTGACTTACAGGCATATCAGCATAAAAATAATGCTTTCGGTCAAAGAATGACACTCGGTTGATGGTACATGACAAAGCCAGACCAGTAAATATTGCAGCTTCAACACAACGACGATTCAAAACCTAGAAAATAATTAAATTGCTATTTAAAAGAGAATAAATAGAAATCACAATTAAGTAAAATGATCATACTTTAAAACCACTGCTACTGCTGCTACTACTAGTATAACTACTACTATTATTATTAAAATTATTTTGCATCATTATAAATAATGTAAAATATGTTATATGTACACTGTTTTGTTTGGAATAGAGTACATATCCTGGTGTTGCTATCATGGCATGGGTACTGATTGGTTGTTGCTGTCCAGAAATCGTTTTAAGCACATTGAGACTAATGGTATAATGCGAGTCCCATTATATTATATTACATACCAGTATACTACAGGTAAAGCACAAGATAATCTTTGCGATTTTTGCACAAGAAGGAGTTGGTATTTAAACTAGGGAATTCACAAATGGTATCCTTATTCATACCTTTATATTTTTAAAATGTTTTAAAAATTATTTCAAGTCTAAACTTGTACTTTTTTCAAAATTAGCAATACATTGCATTTTATTGTTATTTATTTTTTTGATATTATTAAAAAACTTTTTAAGTAAGTGACCTACAGACCAAACGACCAACTGACCGGTAATGTCCCAGGTAAAGCTGCATCGAAAAAGGCTACTTGAGAATTTGGTGCCACCATGAACTTTGTCCCAGCACCCGAGAACAACTTGGAGTGGGAGTTGATCTGAGCATGAATTTCGAGTCCAACGACACTTTCCCAAACAGATGAACAGTCTTGATGAAGAAATCTATAAAAGGTAAGACAAAACTTTTTTTAATACTTTGTTTAGCAAACCCCCAAAACTTTTGTCATTTCTGTTACTTTTATGTACTGTTTGCGTTGCAGGCCTGTAACCTTTACGATCATGTGATAAAATCTCTATAGAAAGCAAAAGAACATCCTCTATTATTATACAGAAGCACACTGCAGCCAAAAATAGGGCCCAGGCCTAATCTTATATTCCTTTTTTAATCGTAACATTGATATGCACTTATATTTTAAAATGTCAAAATTGGATCCACGCCTGTACATATATATATATTTATAATATAGGCAGTACATTTATGCGCTAGATTTCCGTCAGTGTGAGAGCGTGGGACAGACAGAGATTTGGTGTGTATGTGTTTACACACTTGACACTCTCCGGTGCCTACTAGTATATTTCTTTGCAGACCTACTGCAAAATCAAACATAAAAAAAAATCATTTTTTTTTTATTTTTTGTGTGGAACATAAAAATCTAATTTCAGTCTGAGTCTTATTTTACATTTTTTCATGTTAAGAATTCAGTTAAACTAGCAATTTCGTATATTTATAAATCTTTATAACATTTTAAACATATATAAAAATCTGATTTTTCTCAACACTGAAATTTTGCAGGAAATGGGGCTTTATTATCTCTTTCTCAATTTTCTTATAAATCATTGTCAATTAATGAATAATGTTAAATTTAATATAATTGCAATAATTCATTCTAGCTTTTAGCTAAGGCAGACGGAGAATGATAAAGGTTAGCCTGAATTGCCCACAACATGCAATCCCCAGGCGCGCCTAGACTAGTCTACTAAAACGCCGACGGGGCCTCCTATTCATAACAATCTAGGCCTAGTGTAGTAGGCCTAGGTAGTAGATAGGCTGGCCTAGTCTAGGGCCTACTACCAGTCTAGGGCTATTGACCTAGCTAGGCCTACCTGTTTACAATGCACATCACTTTTCTATTTATTCGCATGTTAAATTTGGACCACTTTGTCATTATTATGTAAATACAACTAATTTTCAGTTAGGCTAGTTGGTCCGAACTAAATTCCGCTGGAACTAGGCCTAGGGGGCCCTAGCAAGCGAGTTCGTGCATGTTATGCAGAATGTGCAGCACGACTCTTCGGGGTCAAGACTCAAGACTCAAGTTCAAAGTTTATTAGCAAATATCGAGGGACCCATCATTGGCGTGTAAGTATGAAACGCCCAAAGGACAAAGAGTACAAGCTGCAGTGCATAACTCGAGTGGCACAGTGCAAAGCCCAAATGGTGGCACAGAAGTTTGTGCCAGCACATTTGTTTTGTTTTGTGCTACCACCTGAGTTTTGTACTGTGTGTGCCACTCAAGGTTTACACAGCCACTTCTACGTTTTCCATTTGGTATTTCATATTTGGCGTTCCATATGTATACGTACCTTGCGAAAGAAATTTGAAGCCTGCCGATCGTCCGATAAGAAAACCACCAGATGATAATTTTTTTAAAATGGCTTTTGATGTTGGAAATGATTTTCTAAATAAGCAGCTATGCCAGTGGCTTGAATGGGATAAGGTAATAGATAGTTATTTTGTTGAATTGAGACTTGCATGTAGGCCTAGGCTAGGCTAGGCCTAATCGTCGCAGTACTTGACAGATGCATGCATGCCTCAATCCACCGCACCGGTGCTGTTGGTGCATGCAGGCCCTGACTACCGCTATCCTTCCTAGGCTAGGCTAGGCCTAGCCTGTTCTGAAAAAAGGTTAGGCGTAGGCTGGGCTCTAAGCTAGTTTTTGACTACGCCTATCCCTATTGTGACTATGCATTAGTTGCCAACTTTTCAACAAAAAAAAAACAAACAAAAAAACAAACTGTGAGAGCTTGTTTTGCGTAGCAACGTGCCACTCACTGGCAGGCCGGGCCGGGGAGCTGGGGGTCCGGGAGGCTGGGGGTTGGGGAGGCTGGGGTCCAAGAGTAATATATGGAAGTTTCTGTAATCTTGGGTACTATAGAGGCTAATAAGCCTATTGGTTAATTAGGATGTAATAATGTGATTGTGACCAATATGAGGAACTTAGGCAATATAGAATGCTCTTGAATTGAATGGAATGCTCTGGAGTTGTACAGCTCAGACCTTGATTTAAAGAAAAAGCAGGAGAGCTACTAACAGCTCTCCTCAAGAAATTGAGGAGAGCTGTTTTTTAGCGACAAAATTTGGTCAAACGGCCAAATTTTAGCACTAGGCCTACTGTTACTGTCTGTTGTTACACCTGTCTCTTATACACATCTATAGAGATTAAAATAGAAGGAATATTACACATATTATTTATGTATTTTTCGTTTCAGATAAGAACACGAAATCATTGATTAAATAATTAACGATATTTCTACCACTATCGCATAGGCCTAGATAGCCCCTGAACATGTGCTGTTGGAAAAACCCAAATCAGGAAGTCGTTATATGTACACGACGGTCGGCTGCCTTTAGGTCTACTCTTAATCCTTGGTTGTCGTCAGCTTGCGTCCAACGGGTACACTACCAGCTGACCGGCTGTCGTGAATATAGTGCTTTTGTAATGAAACTTGGTATTTTTGTTGCTCCCCTAGAAAAATTCAGGAGCGCTATTGATTGCTCTCCTCGCATAATTTCGAGGAGCGCGGAGGAGCGCCGGCGCGATCGCGCGCCTTTTAAATCAAGGTCTGACAGCTAGGGTATATAAGCTGACAGTTTTATCTTTCTGGGGCTCTTTTTTGAAACACATGTTTATGTGAATGTTGTGTTATTTTGAGACCGGATTCTTGTTGGAGTTTTATAGAATAAAAGTTTATTTGAGAGTTGTGTTACAACATTGTGAGCTGTGTTTATTTTATATGTCTAAGAAGTATTCCTAGTCATTTCTTTACCACTCGGAAATACATCAAGTAGGAATTCATGACAGCCTATGTAAACTTTAATAAAACCAAAAAGTTACAATTTTAGTGTAAACTTAGGATAAGTAGGCCAACTCGACAGTTGCTTGATGTAAAATTAAAACTAGAGCATTTTCCGTTGCTGCTCCCAAGGTGTGGAATAGCTTGCCTATTTTTGTTCGTGAGTCTCCTTCTGTTGAGATATTTAAAAATCGTCTCAAGGCTCATCTCTTTAGTTTATTTTAATTTGCAAATTTCTAGCGCATAGAGACCTATGTATTTTGCGCTTTATAAATCCAAATTATTATTATTACTACAAACTCTTGGTCTTTTTGTGGATGGATATTAATTTAGTGAACCTTTTATTCATGAATCATGATCTACAGTCACTTTCATGTGGAAAACTGATAAACAAACCATGCGCAGCGCATTACTAGGTAATAATAAAGGCACACCGACGGCAGTGGGCATAAAAGGGTGTCGTTTGTTTACGATTCAAATGTTAAACATACTGGGCTTGCACATAGCCTAGGCTTACCGAATGGCAATAATTTACTCATTGCATATTACTGTATGCCGTTAGCAAAAATCATTATTTATTAGTTTCAAAATCTTGATCTGTGAGTAACCTTGAAATCTGTGAGTTTTTCTTCATCCGTAGTATACCTGGCAAATGATAAATTATCTGCGAGACTCACGGTCAAATGCGTATATAAGTTGGTAATTATAGTTATGCCTAGCCTACGTAGCTAAGGCCTAGGCCTAGTTAGCTAGGAGCACCCGAACAATTATATCCTTCAATTGACTTTAATTATTATGGTTTCACATTAATCTACAGTTTAGATGAAAAAAATTGGTTGAATATGTACAGAGTTATGCTAAATTTAATAAAATAATTTTTTTTTCCTGATTTACGGACGTTGGCCTATCTTGAATTTGTGACCATATGCATGCACCGCGCGTACAGCCTAGCTAAGCCCAGACACGATGTCTCCTCTATCTGCACACACGTTCTGGTAGGCTGCGCAATGACACATTACTCGTATTGTGGCATAGAGTGGCGCAGACGCCTACCTAGCATATGGATATTTAAACACACTCGGGGCACAGAATCTTAATTACATTAAAAATAACATTAAAAGTAAGTATATTTATTATTCTTTTTTCATAATTTTTATGAGAATGAGTTATTTTCTATTTTTTTTTTTGTATTTTATTAAATTTAGAAACGTTATGAAACATCACAAGATTTTTGAAGATGGGAATTCCATATTCCGAATCGGAAATTATTGGAGAACATCGTCCGAGTGTTTGTTTTTCAGTAATACCCAATCAGATTCCAGGAAAAGTCTCCTCGGGACTCCAATTTTTTTTCCGATATGCATTGGTAACACTTTCCTATTCTGGATTTTGACAAACGCCCTCACACGGATGTGCTCCTAGCTAGCCTAGCTAGTTTCTTCCTAACCAAGTCGCCCTCTGACCAGGTCGCTTCTTAACTAGTGCCCCCTAACAAAGTCGTCCTCTTCTTGGCTTGAATGAATATTATCTACTACTAACTACTACTACTACTAGGCCTAACGTAATATAGAATTACTAATCGAAGCTCCTATTTAAGTCTGGAGAACTTATCTATCTTATCTTATAGATCTTATTATAGGCCTAGTCTTGGCATTTTATATTTTGATGTTAGTTACACATTATTCTTCAAGAAAATTGTCAAATCGATACAATAAATTTTATTCAATCGATATCTCATATTCATGGTACAATATGTCCATTTGGATTTATTATTATTATTGTTATTTTATAATTTACCGATAGAAACAATAAAACAAAACAAAAATGTTTATCGTTATCAATGTTTCCACATTTATGGTGTTAATGTCTGCATATTTTTATCAATATTATTAGTATGTAATTAGTTAAGTAATTAATAATAGTTAAAATGGCACTTTCATACAACAGTTGCTTGAAATATGACCTCCATAGTCAGACGAATCTAAAAGATATAGACCTATGTTTGTTAGTTATTACCAGTTGCCTAGAAACTAAATATTCAAACAAAACTTTCTCACAATCAAGTTCATCGATATCAAATACAATAAATTATATTCAATCGATATCTCATATCATGGTACCTTACATCCATTTGTATTTATTTTATCGTTATTTTATACTTTACTGATAGAAACAATAAAACCAAAAAAAAAAATTTTATCAGTCATCAATGTTTCCACATTTGGCACTAATTAATGTCTGCATATTTTTATCTTTATTATTAGTATGTAATTAGTTATGTAATTACTAATGGTTAAAACAGCACTTTCATACAACAGTTTCTTGAAATATGACCTACATGATCAGACGAACGGAAAAATATAAGCCTATGTTTGTAAGTCATTACCAGTTGCCTAGAAAAAAACTATTCAGATCAGGACATCTTTAACTGCTATATTGTTAGTTTTGAAAACTTAATCATTTCACTTTTTTAACACTGCTTCTCTAGAATGAGAAAACAAGAAAGGAAATTTTGGATCTAGCTGAGTGCAAGAATACAGATGAACTCCACAAGCTCTTCGATAAAAGGATAGCTTTTGGCACTGCTGGTAAAACTTTGCATTCCTTCAAAAATTTGATTTAATATTACATTTTCATTTTGCTTCTTGTGTATACCAAATTTTGCTTGTGTTTTCCAATCGAATATGCCAACGTCCCAATCGAATACGCCAAATGTTGTCTTTTTTTTTCATGTTATTGACTATGCATGAGATATTTTATGATGATAATCAAAAAATGTGTTTTTTCTTCTACTGTAGGATTGCGGGCTGCCATGGGTGCTGGATTCTCCAGAATGAATGATCTAACCATCATTCAGACTACACAGGTAAATATTTTGGATTAAGTTGTATTATTATTATTATAATAATAATAATAATAATAATAGATGGATTTATATAGCGCAAATAAACGAGGTCTTTATGCGCTAGACAATATTGAAGTCAAGAACACAAAGAAAAAAGCCGGGAAAAAAAAAAAACAAACAAAAAAAAAAACAATAAACACCAAGCTAAAACTTCGGTTTGGGGTTACACCATCACCGCCAACCGGAGATCTGTGTTTATGTACTCCGGTTATTATTATTATTATTATTATTATTATTATTCTTTATATTCCATTATTAATATGTATTTCTTCCTTAGATTTTAGTAGAGCTTTAGCTTGGTGGAAAGGAGCTTGCCTTCTAATTCAAAAGTTCTGAGTTCAAATCCTTTTCTCGAGACCAATTCCTCTTTTTAAGTCTCATGAAGTTCAGCATCACTTCCATCCTATAATTAGGATGTTATAAGTACATGCTGTTGTATGTGAAAGAAATTTAATATCAGTGGTGGCTCCATGAATTAAAAAAAACAGAAGGGGCCCACCCATGGACAGACTTTCACAGATAGAGGATTTATACCACCTCAGCCCCGTCATTGTTGGGGTTGAGGTAAGATTTATGAGTATGGCACATTTATGGCACTCTCAATTTTCTTTTTTTCTCTATTTTTTCAAAATAATTTTTAAAAATTTAGGGATGTGGGGGACACTGAATATCTTTATCAGTGCAGTTACCCCAAAGATAAACTGTACAGTTTATAAGTCACTGGATATCCTATATCTAATATAAATTTACACAGACTTAAAACAGCTCAGAACTAAAAGTTTTAGTCCTCTCAGATTTGATCAATTTGATTGTATCCAGCCAACAATCTGATCATTATTATGATCCCTTGATTTCCTGATACTCAGGATTAGAACTATTGATCTTTGGATTCGAAGGAAAGCACTTACCATAAAACCACATTTTTGCTACAGTATAGATAGATATGTTATTATAGTTCATTGTACATTGATTATGCCAATGTTTTTTTTTTGTTTTTTTTTTTCGCAATAGGGGTTAGTGAAACATCTACTGGAGGCTATTCCTGATGGCTCAAGTCGTGGAGTCGTAGTTGGCTTTGATTCTAGGTACAACAGTCCACGGTAAGTTGCAACACAGATAAAATTTCATCCGTTATAAGCTACAATATTCGATACATTCTTAGCCAATCACAGGAGAGAAAATAAGCATGTTTTCATGTTTTTGCTTCATAGTTATGCTGAATTGGCAGCTTCAATCTTGCTGAGAGAGGGGGTCAAAGTTTACTTGTTCTCAGCTATTGTACCCACACCATATGTGGTAAGATACTTTTAGAAATGATATTTATATTGATTTTTTTATTTTTTTTTATTGATTTCTTTTTTTTTTTCTTATTATTTCTTTTATCTTATTTTCCTGGGAGCAGCACATCTCTAAGATGACAGTGGGTTCATAGATTTGCCCAGTTTAGCACCAAGCTCCTTCTGGAAAAGATCACTCCATCTCTTGTTTAGGGTCTTCCTCTTTTTCTTTTTTTTTTTTATAAAAGTACTATATTATTATTGGCCACACCCGACCGACTGAAAATATTTGAAATTGAGGATCGGCATTTTAGTTTTATTTTATTTAATTTTTGACTGCGGCGAAAAATATTTTTTTCCCTACCGACCTACCTATTTTTTTTATTTTCCCAGATCATGGCCAAGGCAAGATTTGTTTTAGTCGTATCACCATCGACATAGTCATCATCATCATCATCATCATCATCATCATTGTTGTCATCATCATAATTATTATCATCATAGTCATTATTAACACATCATACACAATTATTGCCATCATAATGATTATCATAATTATCAGTATATAATTTTCACCATCATTATTATAGTCAACATCTTTATCATCATCATCACCAATATCATCAACTTTGTTCATACTTTGTTAGTACTTTTGTTGTAGTCAAGATCATAGTCATCATTCTCATTGATTTATAATAATAATAATAATGGTGGCTTATAAGGCACATATTGTCATGACCTCTATGCGCATCACAATGTATAATAGGTTAAAGAAATATATGTAAATATCAAAATAATGTGTGGCTAAATAAACTCCTACTATTTAAACTATGTTATTGTTGGCCGTCGACTCCGAAGAGCTTATCCACCCTTCATTCAGCTGTTGGTTTTTCTGAGTAGGTTTGTCAGATTAGTCATCATCAGTATCATAGTCATAAATACTATGGGGTACCACAGTCGTGTCGTCACAACGCCAGGTAGCGCTCTCTGTTGTCAACAGACGTTGGCTACCATTCATTACACCTGAATGACTTCATAGGCTTTCTGGAATAGGCATTTTGAAATCTAATATTTTGCCATCAAAATGTATTAAAAACACAAAAGCTCGCATTATATTAGTTACGAACACATATTTAATCATCAACTAAAATTTACCAAGAAAAAGTAAGATACACCCTCTTAAAATTGGGATCAATGGTTTGTCAGTGTAGAAAATGGCGGCCAGTTGAGCGCTTCTTGCAACGATAGCAACGGAGTAGTATCACGCGGTATTGTGACTTAACACTGTAGTACTCTATAATCATCATCATCATAGTCATCATCAACATTTATTATAGTCATTATCATAGTCATTATCATCATCGTAATCATTGTCGTTATCATATTTATTATCATCATCATCAACTCCTCTTTACCTTACTTTGTGAGTGTTTGTATTTTTGTTATTTTCAGCCTTATACAGTAAGGAAGTACAAGTGTGCAGCAGGTATAATGGTCACAGCATCCCACAATCCCAAGGATGACAACGGCTACAAGGTTTACTGGCAAAATGGTGCACAGGTATGTAACATTGAAATTAACCTAATCAGCATTATCAGTTTGAATAGTAATTATAAGAATAAACAAGATAGATAACTTTATTGTGCTTGTCATAAAAATACAAAAGGAAATTCATCTTCCATTGGCAAATGCTTAGTAAAATTAATTAAATGAACAGCATAGAAACTTCAATCCTTTACTCTTGCAGATTACATCACCAACTGATAAAAACATAGCCACGCATATAGAGGCAAACCTGGAACCTTGGCAAAATTCATGGGACACTTCCATCATTTCAACAAGCCCTTTACTGCAGCATCCCTTAGATGAGATAAACAATTTGTATATGCTTGATGTTCAGAAGTATTGCATTTACAGGTAAATTTGATTATCAACAGATTGGCCATATACTGGATCACTGTATTTTAAATATTAATTTCTACTTTCTTTTTTTTAAATTTTACTTTAGATTAATTTCTTTCATTTATTATTATTAAGGTATTACTATACTTTTATTGTTTCTTTTGTTGTATTTTTTTAAGTTTGTGGGTGCCACCATTTCAAAGATGAAGTATTACAAATAAAAATATATATAAACTGTTAGATCAATGTGCTTCCAATAAAAAAAAATCATACCGGTATTTATTTAGGATAATATCGTTGAAGGTTTGCATGGTGAAGTAATAATATTGTGATACACCACAAAATAGTTCTGGAAAGAACTGTTGTTTTGTTGAAAATGTCTCAACGTTTTAGTTTAATTGCTCCAATTGTCTTGAGAATATATCCGCCGAGAATCCAAACGGAGAAATACTTATTATTGGATAGTGGGACTTGGCAGTTCTTTTCAGCACTATCTCTATGGTATACTGCAAGCATATATATATATATTAGTAGAATATTGTAATTTTTTGATAGTGATCATAAGGAAATTATTAAATCATTGAATTTTATAATATATATTATATTGGTTTAGAATAATAATCAATATTTTTTTGTAGGGATATTAATAAATCATCACAGGTACGATTCACATACACACCAATGCATGGAGTAGGTCTTCAGTATGCGCAGAGGGCATTCAAATCATTTGACCTTTCACCTTTCGTTGCAGTCAAAGAGCAGGTAAGTTTGTTGGTACAGTTTCAAGTTTCCAGTATCAGTCTTTGCCTATTATGGAAAATATTATTTTCCTCTTGAATAAGAAACTCTACAGTGTTAGAACAGACGTTGGAGTTGAACATTGTCCATCAGACATGAAACAAGAGTATCATGATGTATGAAACACACATATCAGATAAAGTCTTGCAGAACATTTTGTACAAAGCATTTCTTTACTCCATTGTCTATTTTACAAATCTAATGGTTTTATTTTACATATAGTTGATAAAACATAATATACAACACACATAGATCCTAGGTATCTGATTGGTTGAAAGAGTGAGAATACAAGGCAAACAAAGACTGTATCAAGTCAACTTTGTGTTGAGTATGTAGAGTATTGATATCAAATTATTGCTATTATTTTAATCATGCCCCTCGAAGCAGTTAACATATGTATTAATATTCACTTTTCAAAATATATTCACATGATTATTTATTGATTCTTAATTCTAAATGAATATAATGTACTGTCAAATCAAAATAAATTGCTCCTAAATCAGCTTTTATTTACTGTAGCGCCCTCTGTAGTTTTTTTTTTTACAAATTTCTATTATGAAGTTGAGAAGGCTGTCATTGAGAAAATCATGTTTTGGTTTTTATGTGACGTAAACAACTTGCAAAACATGGCCACCACTTAGGCACTAATTCCTGCCAGCGGTTTCATAGGAAATACATCAAATTACGCAGAGTCATTGACAGAATTTTGATGCAAAATTATGGATAAACACATGTATTTTGAAAGTATACTTTTAGCAACTTGGAAATTTCTTAAACATTGTGTTATAATATATAAAATAACCGGAGTCTATGATGTTGCTGGCTATTTAATATATCTGCATATAGGCCTATGGTATTATATGTATTTATATTCATATACTATATACTTTGTGTAATCTTATTTTATAATACATAAAATAAGTTCTATTAAACAAAGTAGAAATGTATACTTTGATATTATAGACATACAAAATGCCTATAATGTCAACCTATATTGCATATTATATATAAATACTATATAACGTATATTATATATAATAAATACGTATATAATGTTAAAGAGCTAACATACAACCAGTCAAGTAAAGCCTGGCATCAATGTAAAGCCTGGCATCAATGTACAGCCATTAGGTGAGCAACTTTAAGGTAAAAGAATAAAAACAAGTTTCTATGTTTTTACAATAGCAAATTTTCTGAGTTGATTTAAATTAGTTGAAATAATCAGAATTGATAGGAAAACCAACACAAGCATCTATTACTGACTTATTTATGTTTAGTGCCGATTTCCTCTGATGTATGATTTCAAATGATTTTTGTGGTTGTACTCAAGCTATCAACCTTTATTCAAAAACCAAAATAATCATCTGTCATACAGGGGTTTATTTAAGAGCCGGCGGCCGGCGCATTTGATCGGCTACTACGATGTTTTCGCCGGCTACTTCAATCAATGCTGTACAAAAATTAATACAAAAACCACCAATATA